GCTGGAGGCGCTTCAATTTCACGCACGAAGGCCATAGTGCCATGATGCGGAGAAGGACAACGGTCTCTGACATGGACTGCGTTCACACCAGTACCCCGGTCTACAGTGCCAGCCGTGCGTCTGTGCCCACAACGGCTGCAGTCAGTCCTCCAATGATCAAGTTTAGGCAGCCAGCACGCATGGCATGCAGGGAAATCCCTCATTGCTCATGCGGTCCTTCCATCGCCTTCATGAGGCCTACTGCGCTGCCTGCGATCCGGCGTCACCAGACGAGGTGATGCTGCTGGGTACGTGCTTGTGGCCTTACTGAACTCGGCCTTTGTGCTCCGGGAAATTCTTGACGCTGGTCGAGATGCCCGCATTATCGCAGTATCCCATGCTATGGCCGAAAAGGCCGAAGAGGATGATCCTCAGCATCCGCGCATCCGGGCCGTGGAAGACAACCCACCCACTATCTCTCTTGAACGGCTTGTGGTCCGTATGGGTTGTGCAGCCCGGCCACATTAAAGGAAATGGAACGCTTCCACTGCCTTATCGTGCAAGACAATGCTGAATCATAAGGCCATCACGGGCCGAGGGACAGAATCCGCCGAGGCCACAGGCCCAGGCGTCTTGAGGATTACCTCAGGTACCCTCCACTTAATCCCTGCAGTCCAAGAGTTTGGAGACACCCTTTTTTTGCGTTCGTTTGCCACCCCCTTGCCCGGCTCCTTCATTTTACATGATTTGAGGCTTCCTCCCCCCCTCCCCCCCCCTCCCCCCCTGCCCCACCCTCGCCTCCCCTGGCTAGCAGAAGAGCAGTGAGGCGGGAAGATGGCTCGACACGCAACCGTTTTAACGGTTGGGGTTGAGAGGCCCCCCCTAGCATGGTGCATACGACATCCACTGCCCCCTCGCCTGCCGCTAAAGAGCCGAGGCAGGCGGCGTAGCGTTAAAATTACCAACTCTGCGCCTCTGCGCCGTGACGGCAGGCCAAAAGGCGGGAATGTCAGTACGACCAAGCTACCGATGGCAAGGTAGATGGCAATGCAGGACAGAGTCAGCACGAGTGAGCCAGCAGCCACCGAGACGTGCGGTCCATAGCGGTTGGTCACAAGACCTGCATCCTGGCACTGTACTGCGCAAGAGGTTCGACTTAGAGATGTATGCAGGGGGTCAGCGTCCGGAGAACACTTGCTGAAACAAGGAGCCATGCAGATGAAGTTCCCGAGGTCCTGTCATGCAGCTACCACTGGAGTTTTCGTGCTGAGCTAGAACTGTGCGTTTATCTAGGGTCCTTTGCCAGCGCCAGTGTGTCCAGCTCGGCCTGGACGATGCATCGGCTTCGAGAATGCAAGTCAAGACGGGGCAAAGTTTCCACTTAGTCTTGGTGACTCATCTAGCACGCTTGCGCCAGGCCTGCGAGTAACTGTAAGCCCTCTTCACCACAGGGCTCCACACGCCGAAGGTGTAGGTGAGTCCAGTGAGGAAGCATGTGAAGCTCCCTGGCGGCAGGCAGCGCATGTCCATGAGGCAGCCATCCACTGAAAGTATGCCGCACAAGAAGCAAGAACGCCTTCTCCCATCGCAATCGCATGCACATTCTCCCTTTAGCGTCCCTTGGCCAGTTTATGGTCGGTAGCTCGAAAAAACGCCTCGAATAAATTGAAGTCGCGCAAGTTGCGAAAGTGATACATCACGCGAACAAAGAATTTTAGTCTCACGCGTCACTGATACACTCTGTTCAGCAGGTTGCATGAACTGCCAGTGAGGCCGCACAGCCTATAATCCAACATCTTGCAGCCTGGCCTGCGCAGAAAGTCCACCAGGCACCATTACGAAATGATCGCTCTTCCAGCACAGTCATGCGTCAGTGAGATGCAACAAAGCATCAGGCTCAAGCCATGGGCTTGGGGCTTGATCGTTGCAGAATCTGGCTTCACACAATCAGTTGGATAAAACGCACTACCTACTAGCTTCAACGACGAACCTGCGCATCGGCTTTTGTCACATGAGAGTGCTGTAGATTGGGATCCCATAGCTGTCAGCTGCAGCAATCCGCTGCTGGACCCAGAAAAAGTGAGTTGGCCTTCAGAAAAGAATTGAGCAGGCCGCACGGCGATGCGCTGATTTACGGCCCTCGCTGCACCCTTTTCGCAGAGGTCGCACAGGCGAAAGTTTGAAGCTGATTGCAGCTGCTACTGGAAGTTCAAACCCGCGGTGCCGTTTCTAAGCATCCAACAGGCGCTTCTTACAAATCAGACGTCGCACCCAACCAACAGTTGAAGTTGTCTGAGAAATCATCGACAAGTTTCAAACACAAAGAGAATCCTCAACGTCTCATCGTCTCCCGCAGTGTTTGCTGAACACCGAGGTGTTGACAGGAGAGCATTCAGTCCCAGAGATGGAAAATCTTGAATTCGAGAGTATCCACCAAAGCTTTTTCAGTCGGCTCGGGCAGAACGAAGCGAGGGGCCCAGAGTGCACAGCGCGCGAAAATGGCCTGGAAGACAGAGACGTGACGAGACGGCCGTGTTTCGGCTGCCTTCAAGAACGGCCCAGGACCTCTAAGGCTTCGGCTTCTACTCACGCGATTTGGGCCTCCTAGGCCCTAGGCTTAAGTGAGAAGGCAACCTCCGTCTTGTTCTGGCCGCTCGCCAGGAAAGCCCTTCTTGAGCCTTTGACCAGAAGTTCCAGGAAGGCTTCCGAAGTAGAACCACGCTGCGCATCTCTGTCTTAGGCTGTCAAAGGCTCGTTGAGCGACGGTCCTTCAAACGTTAAGTGCATCCGCACAGCTCAAGGGCTGAAAGAATCGATTATTCAAGCCAGGGATTGAGAGGACAGCCAACGTGGCCGATCTCCTGGCAGCATTAAAGGCGCGGAACGTCGCAAGGCATTGCCTTGTGTTGGAAAACGGATTGTGTCCTGAAAGGCCAAAAAGTTATTGTTGCTCGGATCGAGGCGTACCAACATGTGCATAAGCATGTATGTATGTATGTATGTACATCAGGTTAAATCTATAATTGCATAATGAAAGTGTATGTATAGATGTGTGTATATGTATCTATATCGGTATATGTATTTGTATCGGTGCATGTATCGGCATATGGTGCATGTTTTGTTGCCTGTGGCTGCAGTAATATGAAGACTATAAATACAGTACCATACACGAACAACGACACAACCACAACTATAAATATCGAGATAAGCATATGTATGAATACATGTGGATATCTGTATATATATATATATATATACATATGTATGCATATTGTTTTCAAAGAACACATGTCTACATATACACCTTTCTAAGTAGTATATGAACACACAGATATAGAAGACAGGTATAAAAATATAGGTAGACAGGTGCATGGAGATACGGAGATAAATAAATGTAGATATGTAGAGACACATGTATACAGATAGATGCAGGTATAGATATAGACATAGACATAAACATAAGTTCGAATGAGATATAGACATTGAAACAGAGATAGACTTGGAACCAGATACAGATGTAGACGGTCTAGGTACAGGTAAAGACATAGAGACATATTTAGATATAGATCTCGGCGTAGGTGTAGAAGAGATATGAAAATAGATACACATGTGCATTCACATGTAAATACCTGTGTTTCCTGCTTGTTCCACATCATGTAGTACTCAACATAATCTGACGTGCGCCGGTTCCATGTACTAGTCTCCACCACCTCATTCCAGTAGTGGGTATGCATTGCACATGTCAAAAGCACGGCATTGGCACTGTTTGATGCCGCAACACCAGTTCTAGAGCATTCCCTGATTGTTCAACCATTCAACAATTTGCTCTGCAGTTAGCAGTTGTTATTTCGTAAGCACGAAAAATGCAATATCTTCGAGTTGCGAACATAGCATCGGGGGACTGGGCAATGCTGCCAGCATACATACGTACCTACCTGCATACATACCTACGTGCATACGCATATTACATATGTTCCTGTTTGTATATGCCCATGTAAACATGTGTATATACTCATATATATATATATATATATATATACATATGCATGTACGTAGGTATACATCTGTATATGTACCTATGTATATATACACATATACACATATACAGATATGTATGTGTATATGTCTACATATATATGTATACGCAGCTGTTCAGGTGGATATGTATGTGCGTATGCGTACCCATACAGATGTATGTACCTACCTATGTATGTCTGTATGTATATATGTATTTCTGTACATAAAAGTCTATGTGTAGATGTATATATGTATAGATGTACATGTTCATGTATGTACAAAGGTATACATGTATGTACATATGTATATATGTACATATGTACATATATATATATGTATGTATATATGTCCATATGTCCACAAGCCTGTATGCCTACATGTACATATGCAGATATGTAGGTATGTACATATGTGGATATGTATATATGTACATACGTATATGTGTATGTGTGTATGTATGTATGTATATGCATATGTATCTGTATATGTATATGTGCATGTACGTGTGCATATACGTGCATATGCGGATATGCATATATGTATATATGTGCATATGTGTATACATATGTACGTACGTATGTATGTATGTGTGTATGCATGGACATATCTGCAAATGCTCACGTAGATAACTTTAAGTTGTCCATACGTATCTGGATTTATCCATGTGTGCCTAGATATGTTTACTTAGGCGTTTAGAATCCCGTATCTACCCATATGTTCTCCAACTTATTGGTGCATGTTTGCTTAACCTGATTTTGCTCACTTAGTGCTGTATGTGGTTTTGTGCATCTATGTACGTATGGTTAGAGCAACTTGTTTCCCCTCCAGGCAGTAAGAGCTACGGCGTCTACGGACCGATGCATCATCTCGTCCGACCCGATGTGGCGGCTATGACCTTTGCACTCAACGACTCAACGATGGTACCCTTGTGGTACCCTTACAAGTACCCTTATGCCTTATAATGCCCGAATGGTAAGTCCCAGAACCCCGACGGGGAGAGCTCTCTAGCTGAATTGGATAGCAGCTGGGGCAAGTTTAGCCTCGCCCTGCTGTGTCGCGTGGAACGCAGAAAGCAGCTGAGCCCGGAACACTGCGACGGCAGAAGGGACCTTTCGGAGTCATCCGAGCACATGCTTCTTGTACTCATGGTCGCAAGAAGCCCACTTGCACAGAGCTCCAGAGAACGTGCGTTTATGAGCTTCGTAATTAGGCTGGAGCAGGACCAGATTTCTGGGATCTCGTGTGCTTGTCATTACTGGGCGGTGGGGCTCTGTAGCCAAGGCAGGGACGGATGTGTAGTCATGCATGAGCAACTGCAAACTATAACTATACCAACTTGCAGCCGCAGCGTCGCGTTACAGAGTCTTGCTTCAAGAGGAGCGGCCTTGTTGTTCTTCTTGACCTCCTGGGTTCGTGGAATGACCAATGCCTGGCGATCACGTCAGAGCCAGCATGATGAAGAGCTAGAGCTGATGTAGCTTCAAGCCCGCCTCCGTCGTTACTGTGGCCGCACATGCGGGCCGCAAAGTTTCGCCACGGTACCTCACAGGAATGTCTTGTGCAGGTGACAGTGGCTATGAGATAGAAGCAAGCCTTGCAAACAGGCCACCGAATCACAACGTCACCGCCGTCCACGTCGACGGTGGCAGTCCCACCCTGACTCAAGGCCCCAGAAACCAGGAACTCTGCGACAGGATCCTGCCCGCGGTGCCAGGTGCTTCAGCTGACAATAGCCGACACCTACAAGTACCATGGTTTGAGGCAGGCGGCGGTCTGGATCTGCAGCATGGGGTGGGCAAGCTCTTTGCCAACTTGTCTACCTATTGCACCATCCCATGGACCGACAGGTCCTCGAAGATGCGCTGCACTGCACGTCGCAAAGGCCGTGCCTCTGGTTGCACCCAGGCCCGTAGTCAGAATCTCCCTAAAATCCCAAGCAACCCTTCTCTGTAACTACGACTCATTTCTCTTTGCTCATCCTCACGTAAGCGTGTCACGCCGTAAACCGCATTGGAGCCGGAAGCCAGCACGATCTCCTCCACTTCGGCCTTATTCTGGTCTTCTGGTGCCAGGCAGGCTTTGGTTTCGCGCGTGAGTTCAGCTGCGAACCGTCCATGAAAGCTCAAGTGCTTCTGCTGGTCGCCCGCTCTGCAAGGCGGCCTCTCAAAGCGTCAGACGAGGTGTACTCGAGGCTCGAACTACCCGTACCCGGCCTCCTCGAAGGCCAGGGTCGCTCGCTTTCTTGCATTGCCCAGAACCAGTCGCACCTATCACAAAAAGCATTGACCTTCGAGTCTGTTGCGCCAGGTCTTGGAGCCGGATGCTGCTGGATGCTGCTAGGGGCACAATCTGCTTGAACTCCTTCTCTGACAGCGCTCGGAAGATGAGCAGCTCGTCGATGCGGTTCAGAAACTCCGGCCTTCGAGGCATCCACACCACTAAGCACTAACATGCCAGTAGAAACACAGCGTCGGAGGGGAGAGGCTCGGAGAGAGTGTTCTGCGTCGGGCCTGAACTTCTGCTGCAACTGCCGCTGGACCGCTGCACGCAGCTGGTCATACGTGCCCACGCCAGAAGCCTGCCGGGCTGTCTCACCTTGACCTTCACCTGACTTGTCAAGCTGTCGCGGAGAGGCTACGGCATGCCGACAGCGCATTCAGATTTTCGGACATTGCCGGAATTCGCGATCTGTTGCTTTAAAGTTGAACGGGACCGAGGAAGCAGTGTCTGTACACGTCATGCACATCCCGGACCTGAATTGGGGCATTTCCGCCATGGTCTACTTCCGAGGCCATGACAGTGATAGCAGGGGGTATATATGATGAGGGGAAGCGGCATCGTCGGACGAGATCCAGCTCCAAGGGTCATGTCCCCCGTTTACCACAAGTTGGTGCATAGGCACGGTCCTTGAGAAAGCTCGGGAGCTGCCTCTACTTTGAGTCGCCCAAAGAGTCGCGGAGACTCCTCGTCCTTGGGCTCGGCCGTGGTCTCGGAGTCCTCTAGGGTCTCAGCCTTGATACCAGGATGCACCTCGGGGATAACCGGCAGCTCCGCTTCGAGCTCCATGTCCATCACGGGCTCTGCCATCTCTGCCGCGGTGGCCGCAACAGTCCCTGCGACCTCTGCACACACTTCGGCCGGAGCCGGAGCGCTCTCCGCGGGCGGCACCTGCTCCAGGATCTCCAGGCCCTGTGCCTGCGCCTCCTGGGCCTGCGTCGCCACCTGCTCGGCCACCTGCTCGGAGGGCGTCCGCACCTTCACCGCTTTCTCCTTCGCCTTGTTCGCCTTGCTGGAGGGCTTCGTCACTGGCTTGGAGTCCGTGCAGCCCATGCTCAGGGGTTAGAAGAGTGACGCTTCCTCGCAGCTACCAACTATAAGCTATAGAGCCAACTGCGTAGTACAAAGCTTCTTGCTGAGCACGGATCCCGATTCCAAGCTGTCAAACAAGCGTGCTTGTTGGGCATAGGATGGCGTAGGTAAGCGGAACCTGCACTTTTGATTCACGGCTAGCGACGACGGTCCTCACTGCCAATAGCTGGACGGGGGCCATGCCTGTACAGGCTTGTCGCATGGACTGTACAACAGCTTTGCTGCGGGACGTTAATTCGAGGGCAGCGGCCTGGTGCCGCTCCTCATCAAAAGAGCTCCATTACAAAGTCTGCAGTGTCGTGGGCGGCTTCGGCGACCCACTCACCAGCATCTCCAGCAGCATCGGCCACATCGGCGGCGACATGCCCAGCATCTTCCACTATTCCATCCCAGCCGACGTCTGCTAAATGTTCTCCCAGCACAACACCTGCCACGGCTAGGCCGCCTACGGCAAGAACAGCTGCACCGCCAGCAGCCACTTTTGCTCCTGGACTCCACCCTGTTGCACCTGCCTTCTTTGCATCTGTATCGCTCTTTGTGCTTTTGGCAGCAGGTGTCTCCGGTGTCTCGGGGCATGGAGTCATGGGAGGCACGGGGGCAGGTGCTGAGGGTTTGAAGCTGTCAAAAGCCTTCGTAGGTGGAGTGACGACCGGTGGCAGAGGGACGAGCATAGGGTCACCTGCCCTAGCTGCCGCCGGCACTTGGACAGCAATGAACTGATCCGTCCGTGGGTCCGGAACGTAGATGCATTTGCCTGCCGTTCCTTCCGGGACCGTCACCCGCAGCTTGGGCCCTGGCCTCGGCCGCCCAAGCTCATCCCCTTTCCAGCCGGGTGGCGGGCGGATGGCACGCGTCTTTCTACTCTCCAAGTTGGTTTGCGTCATTCTTCGGAAGTCCACTTGGTAGCGCTGGCCCCCAACTTTGCAAGGCACAACGTCCAAACCGGCCATGTACGCACGCTTCAAGATCGTATCTTGGCGTTGATCGAAGTCCCGCCAGCAGCCTGCGAGCTTCACTTGAAAGCGACCAGCCGTCATGCTGAGGGGCCTGTGACAGCTCAAGGCCTGAGATGTGGAGACTAAAGCTTGAGCAGAGCAGCAAAGCAGCAGAGCAGCAGAGCAAGCAGAGCAGGTACCGACTTCCGACTTCGAAGCTGCCGACTCTTATGCTTGTGCTGTAGCCACATGGCCTGCTGGAGAATTTCTTGACTCCCCACGTTCGAGGTCATCACCTCAGCGGGAAGCATTGCAGAAGCGCATGGCCCAGGAACATCCTGCCATGCGGTGCGGCGCAGATGAGCCTCTTGCGATGATGGAGTTGGAGAAACTCACGGTTCTGCCCTTGCACGACAAGCTACCGTCACGGCATGCGAGGCCAGGAAAACTAGAGTGCTGATGCCGCTGCCTTTCCGTCCGTCAGGCGTCCGTCTTCCAGCACTTGCAAGAGAAGGTTGAGCACCTGACAGATGGCGTGCCGAGCAGGAGAAGCTACGTAGAAACATCTAGAAATCATGGAGGAAGGCACCAGGGGGGAGTGAGAGAGAGTGCGCGCAGTGCATCGCCTCAGAGTGGGCTTTCTCAATCTCATCCAAGACCACGACGCTGTATGGCCGTCGACTCGGGCAACATCTCACTTCAGAAGCTCCCTGGATCGCCAAAGCGCAGAGCTTCCGGGCACCGCACCGCACAGCCTCAGTCAGCTGGCCACTACGAGGGTCGTCGTAGCCGACCTCGCGAGTGGACGAAGAACAAGCGGTGTGAGTTGCACAGTTGCACAGGATCCCTCCACTCCTCTTCAGCATTAAGTGCCTTGGTCCTCTTTCTTTTTTTTCTTCTAGCCTTGCTTCTGGAGCCGATTGTGCCGCTGATGCCCGCGGCCCCTTCACCGAGCCACAACGACTGCGGTCGAGAGCATGCGAGCATCAGAAGGGTCCTTTTCCGCCATGTGGCCTCCCACAACTACCCTCCCAGGTGTAGGGGGTAAGTTGAGGTCAGGTTTAGCCCGTGGCAGACCCCGCAATGGCTTGAATTTAGGGTTTCCCCACCAATGCCCAAGTGATCAGCAAAGCTTGCGAAAAGCTTCTGGGTGCTGTTGCGAAAACACCCCGACTCTCAATGTGAAGGACACTCGATTGCCTCCGGCACAGTGGCGTGAGGCAGGGCTAGTGGCATCGATGTGATTTCAATCCGACTGCAGAAAGCCAGTGCGCTGGGCTTGCTGGCGTAGCCGGGCGGAGCCCCGATGAGTCGCGAAACGCTGTGGGGCTCGGAGAACTCGCTCATGTCGAGGCGCACCATGGCCTTTCAGCCGAGAAAGTCTCCATCGCCTTTACTGCGAAGGATTTGCAGTTTCAAGTTGCACCTTGAGATCTGCGTAGTACTCCTCTGCCAACACTCGGCACAGCTCCGTCTTGCCAACGCCTTGTGAGGCGTTCGGAAAAGCACATCTCAGTTTGGGCCAGGAACGTCACGGCTACGACCTGTTGGGCCAGCGAAGAAGAACGAAGCTGTGGGGCGGCTGGATCCTCCACAATTTCACTCACAGGTCGCACATATCGACTCTTTTTTTGGCCGTGCGCACACTACTAGACTACGGGATACTACCGGTCCACCATCCCCCCGGTGCTCCTGCCAGGCCACTCCGTGCTCGTCGCACTGCGCGCGACAAGGCGCTGACAGCAGGCGACTGACCTCGGATGCAAAAGACAGAACTGAAGCGGCCTCGGCCAACCTTCTGAACTGGGGCTCAACCAATGATGCGCTGCTCCAGTGTCTCCTTCACCCCACCACAACCAGACGACACAAGATGAGAAGCATGCGCAGGACCTTTGCAGCGTTGCCTCGAGGCGCATAAGCCGGTCTGACTCGCCCTCGGAAAGCCGCTCCACCGGAATGCCTGACCTAGCGAGATTGAGAGGCTTTGGAGGCTCATACTGTTTGAGCAGCAGGACAGTCCACCAAGGGCCCCGGCCACTTTGCAAGAACTGTTGCAACATCTTGTGCCGTCACCAGAGGCTTGGACCTGTGCACAGATGAAGTCGCAGAGCCCGGTTCTCAATTGAAATGGTCATGGTCAGCTGCGAAGCTACTCACTCGGTTGTTTCGCTTCGCACTTACTGAGAACACCCTCGGACAAGTCTGACTTCACGGTTGAAATGCCCGTGGTCACGCGTAGACGAAGTCTTCTGCTTCTCTACTGCTCGTCCTTTCGCTTCCCAGGTCCAGGGACATCTCGAACTGTGCGTCAGTGGCATTCGAAGGGGACGTCCAAGCGGAGAGTGTGCGCCTCTCTAAGTCAAAAATGCCCGTGATAGAAGTGAAGCCTTCATCCTTGCTGGTGCGGTTTCGCCACACTGGCCAATCCGGGTCTGATCTATCTGACAAGAACGAGCGCAAGTCTTTCATGTTGTTCGGCTTAAGCTGTTTCCAGCGCCTCTCGCGGTGAGCCGAGGATGCTTCCGGAAATTGAGATACATTCAGCAGCTTGAACTGGTTCGCATGCACATATGGACCTGTAATTTTTCGCATAGCATGGAGGCCGCCGGTAGTAACTTCAAGATTCCAGAGTTCCTTGTCGTTAAGAAGGCCGACGTTGTAGTTCAAGGCTGTGGTGACGCGCTTGTTGGAAGCGCGAGAGACCAGTTCTTGCAAGGACTTGGCTTCTGTCATGTGCCGAGATATCCAGGCAGTCCCCACTCCTCTGGACCGAAAGCTGCGTGGGAACAGAGAGTTCACGGTCCAGACCAAACCATATGAATTCCAGTTCAACTGTCCTCCGAAAAGAAGTCCCGGGTAGCACCAGGATCCCATGCGGAACTTGGCCCGTCCGTCAGCACCTAGCGCTGTCGCAATCACGAAATACGAGGATTTCCGCCAGTTGATGGGCCAGTCGTCATTGTGCCCAAGTGCAGTCAGCTGAGCATTGACCACGTAGCCGTCCGTGCAGTGACCTTCACGCTTACGCGGCTCCACCCACTGCGCGAGCTCCTGGAAGGTGGACTGACGGAGCCCTCGAGACTACTTGGATCTGACATCGGACTCTAAGCCCTGGCCCTAAACCCTGAACGCTAAGACCTAAACCCCAAACGCTAAACCATCTCTGTCTCTTATGTATATTTAAGTCACTTAAATATACATATTTAAGTGCTGTCCATCTAGACCGGTGTTCGCGCAAAAAGCGCTCAATCGACCCCGCTGTTCCCGCAAAACGCAGCCAATCGACCCCCGTGTTCCGGCAAAAAGCGCTCAATCGACCCCGGTGTTGCCGCAAAAAGCGACCCCGGCGTTCCCGCAAACAGCTGTCAATCGGACCGGTGTTCCCGCAAGACACGATCAGTCGACCCCGGTGTTCCCGCAAGAAGCGGTCAATCGGGACCGGTGTTAGGGTTTGGTGCTTTGGTTGGCTTTGAAGGTGTAAGACTCTCCCGAGCGGATAATAGACAAGCAATCTTTGGATTTCTTGATGTTTTGGGATTCTCTGGGTGGGTGGGTGTTTTCCATGTTCCAGACAGCGAGCTCGAAAGCACACTGCTCGATCCTAAACCCCTAAACCTTAAATCCCTAAACCCTGAACCCCTAAACCCCCAAGCCCTTATAACCCTAAACCCTAAACCCTCAAAGGCCCTAAACCCCTAAACCCTAAATCGTAGAACCGTCCAAGAACCGAGCTGCACCTCCCGAAGTTGGTTCACAAGCAAGCGCTGCAGCGCAATGCCCGAGCCGTCTGCCATGCCCTCTACCTCAAAGGGACCCTTAGGCGGGGCACGGGGGATCCACCTCATAGGCACCCCTAGGAGGTTAAGGGGGAATTTTGGGGGAGTGGGGTAATGTGGGGTATAGGGGATTATACTTCCCCCTACCCCCCGTAAGCGTCCTTATGACTACTTGACGACCAGTTTCGGCACAGCCACCACCGATGGCCTAAATCGACAAGCATCGACTTGTGACTAGCGACAACCAACAGCACAAATTGCATATACCCTGTCGAACCTCTCGCATGTAGAGGGGGTAAGTGACATTCGTCTCCGAAACGAGGCCCTCAAAAATCTCACGCCCTTCGCCAAGTACCTCAGCACGAACACTTGCAAGGCTGCGCATTTGAAGCTTTGCATGTCTGAGAAGCCGAGCAGTTACAGTAGGCGCTTGGACCGAACTTTACTTGCGCCTTTCGACGCAGTCTGAACATCAGGCCGAGGTGCCCAGGTTTCCATGGCATGAAGCTGCAAGTCTCCTGCCCAGACTGCCTGGATGTCAGGCCCCATGGCTTCTCCGATAGCCTTGCCAAATTGGAAGTGCCCGTCGCTTGTTCCGTCCACATACTCCACGAATAACGTCCTCATAAAGCCCGTGTCCTGTGCAGATGCGACCGCGAAGAACCATGCCACATATGGCTTGAGCATGGCTCGCTGCTTCCTTGGCTTGGTTGGGTGCGCAAGGGAATGCGCACGTTTGTGGAGATGTCCTAGCACTTGAACCCCCTTCGTGCGCACAGTTGAAGAAGCGATGGCAAGAAGCGTAACCGCAAGAGGTGTCTGTGCTCTGGGCACGAGAACTGCAATGCTGACTTATCTCTGAACCCGAGAGCGATCACGACTTGGTGACGGACAGTTCACCCGGATCGACCTGGTTGTTCGCCTACAAACGAAATGAAGCAGCCTTGACAATCTTCGACGAAGTCACGGAGAACCCTTCGGCAGCCTCCTCCAATTCCATCTCTATCCTCCACTGGGCCTCAACGGCACAATGTATGGGCAGAGACCTCCAGGTCTGGGTCGGAGGTTGCTGAGGGCAGGACCAAGCTGCTTGCCTCGTCAATCAGGTCGACTGCCTCGAAGGTGCCGCGCTGGATCGAATTTCCGAGTGCACTTCGAGCACAGCTATTATTCTATAGTCAGATCGTCAACTTAACAAAGGCACGAGGAAAACTACCCACGGCTTCAAGCTACGGTACTTTCTCTTGCCCAGCTGAGTCTGCCGTCCAACAACACAACTGGAAACCAGCTCTCCCGCTTACATCTGCACGTCGCCATGCTGTTGTGAGTTCGCTTCGCGGGCAACTGCGGTAGTATAGCCGGCATTACCGAGCTCAGCCACAAAAATGCAGCGCACGCACTGACACACCGGCTTGAGATCAGTCCATGCCTTGTCTGGCAAGAAGCGGTCGTTGACATAGCCTAAGCTGGGCCCGCTCAATGAACCGAACATGCGCGCAGACCAAGCGGAAAACAGTAACCGCATCCAATCTGATCCTGTCTACACGTGCCACCGAACATACGCTCACAGCAGGCGAAAAAGCTATTTACATGCACCACCAACTCACGCCAAAAGCAAGCACAAAACAGTGGCCGCATCCCCCGGTGTTGCTTTGCTTGGGGTCGGCGCCGATACCTGTCCCTCTCTCCTGTTTTGTACTGGGACAATATACCTCCAAGATCGATTTGGAGGCCCAGGACTACATTGCATGATTTTGTCTGGTGTTGTGGGATGCGCGAGCCTGCAAAGAGGATTCGGTGATTCTGTTTTCGAAGCATGTTCCGCTCTTGCATGCTCATTTTTATGCTTGTGATGTGAACCACCAGCTAGACAGCCCAGATGAAACAACCCCAAAGCGTTTGCAATGAGTAAAGTCGGGCTTTAATCAAAAATCACATTCACATGGACAAAAGCAGAAATCACCCCCGCCTGCAAAAGACACACAACGACTTGAATAACTGGGAGCAACGTGCAAGCGCAACCTGCGCAGCCAGGTGTGGACATAATGGCATGTAAAGAACGACTTTCACTTCTCAGAGCCAGCTGTAAGCGGTAGTGGAAGTGCAAGGGGGGTGGAAAATCCGAAACTAAAACACTATTAAACCCTAAACACCCTTCAGGCTTAGACCCGAAAAGCAACAAACCAAAGCTCAAACCCTTCGTGTTGCCTGCTTGATCGTTATTGCACCCCATTCACGTGCTCTTGAAGCACTCCAAGTGCGATGTGCGTGGATACCAGGTCCAAGGAGCTTTGGCTGCGGAAACCTCTGAAAATCTGCAAGCAAACCCTCGCCCGTGCAAGAAGGACAAGACTACCAGAGCGCTATGGACTAAGTATCGGCTACTGTCCTAGAGGCTTGCGAAAAAGAGGCCGGAGATGGGCGGAGTAGCGACGGAACGGGATGAGTGGACTTTCTGATCCCCTTGTGCCAGGTAACGGTCCGAAAGCCGCACGGCAGCCTCAACAGCTGCACACTCAAAGTCTGAAACTCTGAGTGTCATTTGGCCCGAAGTCTGCGCTCGCTTGAATTGCTCAGTGAGGAGGGGTAAGCAGAGGCTTAGGACAAGTCAACACGTATGTGTGGCGAAGCACTCATTCACCGAAGACCCCGGCCTGAAGAGCTTCTGGGGTCAGGAGAACTCCGTGATGAGCCTGCACGTACTGTTTTACAATCGTTGATGCATGGCGTGAGAGATGCTGAACCCATTCGAATCACCTTCTTGGAGGCCAACCTCGTATGCAGGCCGGAGTCCCTCCAAGACCTCGATGCTCTCGGCCACCTTGGGCTCCTCCAGCGCAGGCAGAGCAAAGAAGCATGCACAATACAACATCCCGACGTGGGAGATTCGTCACGAAACTTCGAGCTAGACAGTCGTTGAGAGTCTTGTTACAAGCTGACCTCGCAGTTCACACGCTGGAACCGGCGTTCGAGTGCGGCATCCTTCTCAATATGCTTCGTGTACCTGCGCACGTGCTCAGCATGTGCCGCCGGAACCAAGCTTGGGTGCACAACAGCGCCCTATCGTGTCCCGGCGCACTCATCTGCTGTGGTTGCCCCAATCACCTGATGCAAAACACCTCAACCGCCAAGACACCCTGGATCCCAATACTAGCAGTTACGATGATAAGAAGAGAGTCCTAGTAAGAATCAGTGAGCAGGAACATGATGGCAGCAGTAGTAAAGTCTATGCCAGAAGAGAGAGCAGAGGCAACGGCTTGCAGCTCACCACGCGCAAGCGAGGGTTTCAGAAGGTTGGCCGCGTCCATGGAGGAGTCTGCACCTGTCTTCACGCTTCAAAGGCCTACGTCACTGGCTCAGGAATATGACGTCTTCCTTCTTCTTAGTATTGATGCTCGTTCATGACCACAGCCACTAGCGGCATTCCTGAGTATTGCTTCTTCGCTCATGGCTGTACCAGATTTGGCCACTACTGACAGCCACCCCCCCCTCTTTGGTGTTCGTAATTGCGATCAGTATCATTACTGATGCGGCCATCGCTGCCGCAACAGGAGCACATGTTTGCATTCATTTGCTAAATTCTAGTTCGTAGCTTTTTCGGATGGCACTGGAGTCGGCCCATTTGCCTGCTTGGCCTACTTTCCTGTTCCTTTGAACCCTCGCTGACCGAGAACTCGAACTACCGGTGGTCCTTCGACATAGTAGATTCGTGAACATACTACTTTCAGGTGTGTACACACTCTCGGTACTTGTAGTGGCTTCGGCACACAGCAGGTGCAAGCAGTCATAAAATCTTGTGGGAAAGGATGAGCAAAACCTTTGCCGTGTGCAGCCACCTGGAATACATGTTTATATGTGTATGTATGCATGCATGCATGTTTGCTTGTATAAAAATAGATAGCGATCTAGATGTGGTTATAGGTATTGTTGTATAGACACAGATATAGACAAAGACATCGATATATACATGTGTGAATGTATACATCACAATACCTGTGTATGTATGTGGGTGGACGTGTAGGTCACAACATATGTTCGTAGGTAGCCACACAAGCGATTCGACGTGACATTGTGGCCTGCAGCACCAGCTCCCACAATTTGATGGATCCTGCTAGGAGACAGATGGCTTCCTCTATCTCACGGCATGACATTTCGGCTGTGGCAGTTTGAGAATCGTGCTCGTCGATGAAGAGGCAGACGTCCCTCTCGTCACTGGTCACCTCGTTGATGACCTTTTTCAAACCTTCGAAGATACATGCCAAGGCAGACAAGACTTCAACTGCTCCTTCTGATGTTTGGCTCCAGGCGGTCTTCAAACTCCCCACGGTACTTCGTACCAGCCTGAGACACTACCGCACGGAAAGCGAGGTAAAGTGACCGAGCACATACAGTTGTAGCATTGCCAGCTGAGCTGGGCACGACAAGCTGGCCCAAGTCGAGAGAGTAAACCTGCTTCCCCTTCAGGCGATTTGGCACCTTGTCAGGCCCAGCCTAGTCATCGCATCTCTGAAACAAGCATGATTGGATCACCCAAACTAAACAGTGTCTGTCACTGCGGGACGCAAATCGACATGCCTTGCCCTCGGCAATCCGAATGGCCAGGCCTGCCATGATCGAACGGAACGGCTGGGAGCTCTCACGACAGAGGATGTGACGCAGACTTCGCTCATGCATGCTCCCGAACCGCTCGCTTCAGCACAAGCCGACTCATAAGTGACCGGGAACAAGAACGAAATCCTTCCGTCCTTCGACCACTGCCGTCTTCCCGACGCCAGGAGGACCCACCAGGCAAGCGTTGTTCCTCAGCATCACGTCTCGTCTTTCCACAGGTCACTGTATTGAAGTTGCTGCGTTGACCAAGCGAACGACTGGCACAACTTGCGGCCGAGCACAGTCCAAATGCCCTGACAAAGACCCGCGCTTGCGCTTCCGCAACAGGATCTGGATGATCCGATCCATCTCCTCCTGCCGACCTGTCAGGAGCGCTAAGCGTCTCAGCTCAGAGTCGCTGCTCTTTCTTTTCCATGGAGCTGGACCCTTACAGTTGCGTGGAGCCTGACACTAGAGGCTACTAACTCCCAGTGGTGGCGGCATGGGCATGAGATTCTGCTAGTCTCGCAACCTTAGAATGTGCATCATTGAGAACTGTGGCAAAATGCCTTGCCTCCTCCCAGGAGATCAAGTTAACCCACATGTTTCAGGGTGTTCATGCATCTCCGCGGAGGGAAGACACTTGCACACAGCTGCTCCTCCAACAGCGGGCACAAACAAAACTAGCATGCGCTCCGCATTGCAGCTCGATGCTTATGTGGTTTTTGGAACCCTTCCACTCTTACAAAAAATGTGATTCTCGCGATAGAGACCTTCACAGTGATGTCTGTTCGGGTGATCCCTTCTTCTCATTTCGGCTTTCGAGCTTGCAGATATCAACCCTCATTACAATCAAGTCACATTACATAACTCATGTCCAGAGTTGAGCCATGATTGAGAGCCTTGACTCTTGTTCGCTCCACTGACAGGAATCTCTCCGTTGCGGTAGGCACCCAGCCAACCACTGGATCCAGCAAACCATCCAACGCCATTTGCCTTGACTTGTACGAGTTCATGCCAGCTTCAGCAATGACTAGTCTGCTTCGGAGGCACGTCAGATCTGTGGCCACTTCGTCCAAAGTCATGTCCGACTCTCCGCTCGACTCATCCGCCTAGCAGAGGTCGGACACCCGACAAATCCGAAAGAGACAGCCGGGAGAGAGAGTCTTTCGGGGATGGGCAGACGTGTGTGCTTTGAGCCGTCTCGGCTCGGTGGCTCCCGGGGCTCCCGGGACCCCCGCCCCGACGGCCGCGAGCTGTCGCTCCCTCTGCGCCCCGGCCCGAGGTGCTGACCTGAGAGCGCTCTCAGCTGCCGGCTGCATGTCAGCGGCCACAGGATCACCCCATCTCTTCATCTTCATACCATCCCTCCCTCAGGCTCCAGGCGCTGCTTCCGAGACGGCTTCTCGAAGGGCACTTCCCGAAAGCCCAAGGCCTGAGAGGAAGCCGTGGCAGCTGCAAATAAAGGCGGCAAAAAGCGGCATGGCAGCCGGCCTGCAAGCATCTTGGCCCCACCACTTTGGGCCAGCCTGTCATCGCCTGCAGAAAAAAACAACAACAAACCACCCCGTTGTAATCTCCGCCGCATCTATTCTGGGCCCCCAACCGAGGGCCAGAAGCAACTGCTCGCAGCCGACTTCCGTGTTGCCAACCGTTCCTTCCTGATATTGAGCACAGTCTCTGAAGTGCTCGAAATCTCAAGTCGTGCGACTGGAAAATTCCAGAAATCTTTTGCAGGGTACGGTTCAACACGTGATCCTGTGTTGAGCAGTGTCTCGGCTTCCTCGGGGATAGGGTCAACGGCTGCGCGAGCTCTCAGCCACGGGCATTTGCTGTGTCGAACAGTAGCCTGGCATTCTCGCTGAATGGCAGGGAACCAGATCCTGCACACATCGAAATTCGAAACATCTGCCAAAAGACGGCCAACTGACAAAGCTCACAACATGCAAGCACTTCAATGTTATCGATCGCCCGTCTTCGAGCTGACAGAGAGTGGCTCGAATCTTCAAGTCACCCGATCGGACCCCACCAGATTTTCTGAAGTAGACAGCCATCATTATCCCGGTTTGCAGTCGAGCAATTAGACCGCCAAGAACTTTTGACACAGCTGCCGCCTTGCAGCTACAGCAACGGCTCCGCAACAGCTTAACAGGAAGGGAAGAGCAGTAGTCTCCCATGTTTGACGAACAACACGGTCGTCGCACAGCACGTTGGAAGCGTCAACTTCTGTCCTGAGGCGTCTGACACGGGTTTTGGGCTGGTGGCGATGAAGCGCTTCAAGGCCTCAACTCAAGCTTTTTTCACCACCATCTCATTATGTCATTGCTGCTCTTGCGCAAAGCTGAAACCCTGGCCTCGCGAGTAACGCCTTTCCGAACCTCGGTCTCAGAATGCCAGCTACTGTGTTTCGACAGATATTCCCTTAGATCTGGGATGTGGGCCAAAGCAGTCTTGGCTATGAGGTTGGCACCCTTCTGCTCCTCACAAGACTAATTCATCTTTCTGCCTCCCCCAGCTGTCTGAGGCACCTGGATGACTCGAGCTGCCCTGACTGCCTTGAGGAAATCCGAACCCGGCTTGTGACTCAGAGCCTCGGAGAAGATTCCGAAGATGATGAGTTCAGTGGAAACCACTCCGTGACCTCGGCGGATGTGGGGGGGAGCCAGGCTCGGTAGCAAAACAAACGTAATCCTAGGAATGACAACAACAACTCGACACGGGCCGTAAAGTCGCAAGGAGAATCGGGGAAGCGGCTGCGTCTTAAGGCTTCCTCCTGCAAGGGCGTGGCCGATTTTTCGGGGAGCATCTCTGAGGGCGATGAAAACCATCACGCGCTGCGGCAAAGCATCGTGCACAGAGAAACCAAGCCTGGGCACTGTAGATCGCCGTGATGGCATCCTGCCGGAATCGGTCGAAAACCTTGGACGATTCGCCAGCCCTCGCAGATGTCTTCGACTCGACACTCGACACTGCTCACAGAAATACAGCCCTGCCAACAGAAATCTGCAATGTGCCGAGCGTAAGACTGCAGTGGCTGCCCTCTCGTATGCTACTGCTGCAGGGCAGGAACGCAAGACAAAGGCTTAAGCCCAAGGCTTCCGGGCGTGTCTTAACCTGTGACTTCTGCAGTCAAGCTTGACTTGCCTCATTTAATGTTGCATCTCCTGAATCGGTGCTCGCGTCTTGCCGAGCCATTCGCTACCGTCCTGCAAAGGTTTGTTGCGCGTCGCGTGAGGCCTGCAGGTTTCAGTCAGATGCTTGTTGGCCGAACGGCGACTTCCCTGAAATCCGCCAGGGACCATGTAAAATGGTATCACCCAAACCCGCTCCCACCTCCCCCTCCCCCCCTGCCCCTTGTGTCTGGTTCACCTGCCCGCTCTTCCTCTCCCGCATCGGACCACTTCTCCGCCTCGTTCGTTGAGCAGTTCGAATTCCGGGGCTGAGGCGGCTCTCGCGCTAGCACTTACAGTTAACGGCCCAAATTGGCAAATTTGAGGCACCTCCAAAATTACGAAGCGCATATGTCTTGGCTGGGTCAAGAGCTCTGCGGCTCAGCCGCCGTAATCGCTGCCTTCGCCGGCCCACCTCAGCAGTCACAGGTCGGAGGAAAAGTCAAAACACAGCGTTCACTTGCATGCGTTTGTCTCCCGAGCTTCTCGAGCTCGACCCCCCTTGAACAACCTAGGATCTAACTCTAGTCTGTCACAGTGGTGAGTCGTCCCATCATGAACTTTTGAACCTAGAGCCGTGACTCGAAGAAACACAAATCAGGGTTGTAGCTGACGGTTGTAGTTGCAGAGCGACTGAAGCTTGCTGGGAAATTCGCCGCCATTGAGGCGGCCCGCATTGTTCTAGTGAGACCATGCTTGTTTCACCAGCATATCTGTCGTCGACAGTTTCATGGAAAGTCATGCTGGCTGAATCAGAGGAACATTCAGCAGCTGCAAAACGTCAGGTTTGTCACCTGCACTTCCAGCAAACCCACCAGCGAAAGCAGGATAGGCTCCTTTCTCCCAAATTGCACGCGCGGGGGATCCGGAACAGAAGACTCCAATTGACACATCATATTTTTGCATAGCTCTTCTGAGGGTCAAGCCAGCAATGTGGAGGCACCTGAACGACAATGCCAAGCACTTCGGATTTGGGTTTGGCACCGCTTCAAAACGACCTACAACAATCATCCCGCACAGTTCGTAAATGCTACCGCGAAAGCTACGGAGGGGATCTTGTCGTGCTTGTCGTTGTCTTGCCGCTGTTGCTGTTGCTGCGGTGCAGGCGCTTGCGACATTACGACTATGCCTTTTCCCTGCTTCCCCTGAATACGAAGGTGATTATACGAACAAAAACGCGCCCGCCAGCAAAGCGGTGTAGATGACAAGCTCTCCATGATTTTTGGTTGTGGTGGCATGCTCGCTTGGCCTTCCTGGACACGTGCAACTAGGCGAGATTAGCACATACCTCATGGTGCGACGCCGTTGTCCGCCACGCGACATGCACCACGACCTTCGTTCTCGGAACCACAGCTTGGCACTGCTGCATGCGCTCTCCAGGACCCGTTCACTACACAAAGCCATGAAACCATCATGTTGGCTAGCAAGACGTAGCCAACGAGAAACAGTTCGTAGAAGGCGGGTACTACTGGAAGTTTCCACAAGCCCTCCGAGCCTACCAGTGTCGCAGCACCAAGCTGAGTTTGCCTGCAGGTGACAAGAAGCCACGGCGGATCTGCCAAGCTGTGCTGACAGATTCTTGGTTGCAAGAGCTGCACTGAGCCTGCTTCGACTTCTTCCCACGGGCATTTCACCAGCTTCACCTGCAGCCATCGCAGCGGCGGTCTCGGAACGCTCTCCAACTCTTCCGAGGCGGCCTCGAGCATCGCCAGGCACCTGCGCAGATCTGCGAATCCAAACTCAACACCCAATATTAAATTACTGCGAGCATAAAGCGTAGGATTAAGCGTTTTGGGGTTCGGGGTCTATGGTGTAGGATCCAATTCAACCAGGGCGATTGAATACTCTTTGAGCCCAAAGCTGACCTGCCTCGTGCCGACTTCACGTCTACCACGAGGGCCAGGTGTAGCATTTTAGCTATTCAGCCCAATCTCAGGCCATCTATGAACCCATACATCAACCGCATCTGTTTTCTTTGCCGTTTGTCTAGACTTGCAGGTTTTTCGTGGAATGTTGTTTGCTGTGCTTCGCGCGGTTGCAACTCCTGCTATCTGCTGACCGTCTTGCGCAAATGTGTGCGCCAATCCTTGTTGCCGTTCAGAAGCGCAGTTTCCATTTGACAACTCCCCTATCTTGTTTCTGCGTTCTGTTCCACATCCTCCCAAATGGTTTTAGCTCCAATCTGCATCGAATGCACCTACCTGCTCGATGGAGAACAGATCCTACGACCAGTGCTCAATTGCTCTTCTGCGTGTCTAGTTTGACTTTCGTGGCGTCATTGGTGCTTGTCAACTTTCGGTCGCGAATCGTAGCCGCATTCGTGGGATGCATTCCCTTCCCTCGAGGAGCTGTTCACTATACCTTCGATGAACTAGCTCTGTCATGCCACCAGCAGCACATTGTACAAGGAGCATGGTGCCCTGGTCATGGGATTATACCGTCAGCAAACCATGTGCATAGAATGCAACGGCCACAACATGCGATCAAGAAAACATACCCGGACATCTATGTACGTTTGTATGTATGCATGTGTGCACGGCTGTATGCATGTGTAAAGGTACACATGTATGCCTGTGTGTATGTATGTATACATATATATGTGCATGTGCATGTATATGTGTATATGTGTAGATATATTTAAACTTATATGCATATCTGAACTGATATGTAGCATACATCAACCGCTGCAATGCATCCCTGCGATCGCCTCTTGCCAGCCAGCCCTTCGGGTTGCTTGCAGGTGTCGTGGCGCTCCCCTGGAGATGAACAAGCCTTGACCTCCCAACGACAGCACGGTGCTGATAAAGTAGCTGTTCAGGGTTTCGGGGTCATTATGCTGTAAGCATAATAAGTAGCCCCACAAGCGTGTTGGTGATTATAGTGAGCTGGCGAGAAAAACGACACTGTCCAACCTCTCGGCAGAATCGCAGGATCTGCCACCTGCACCACGGGCATGAGGCACCCTTGTAAGCACGAGGCATCAAGCTAAATCTTGCATCCCCGCATTCGTAAGACTTCAACCGTACACACTCAATGACATACTGGAGAAATCGGAGTCTGAAACAGTCTATCCGAAAAGTAGCGTGAGATGGCGCCAAAGACAAAGCAAGTGAAAGCGCCTCCAGAGCCGCCATGGCGACCCGAGGGGGAGCAGAGTACGAAACCCTCTGTTTTCTACGAGAGATTGGTTGCATTAACTCGTCGAGTATCGATGTTTGCAACTGGCCATGGAGGCAAGTAGTTCAGACCTTTCACGTGATTGCTTGCAGCAGCTCGCGAACTCCCTCAATAGATTGGCTTTTTCGCTATGTCTCTGCAAATGGCTGCGGGGCGTCCGGTAGCACTTGCGCTTGTAACAAGAACCCCTTCACCCCATTCGCTTTTCGAACTCTCCTAGAAACAGAATGCATGTCGCACCTCCTCTTTTCCATCCTCAAATTCCGTAGCGAGATGAGGCCGCTTGAAATTCCGCGATTGGTGGACCAGGTGAGTATCGAGGCACATTGCCATTGCCATGACTGTCAGATTCTCTTTGCCTTTGTACGTGTGTACATTACTGGTCGATCTTGAGCAAGGCCGTGTATGCAGTGTGCACACATCGGATTTTGTTTTCGTTTGTCTCGATTCCTGTGGCAGACCATGACGGTTCACTCAACCCGGCTGTCTGCTGCCTCACGTCCTAAGGACACCTCACGCGCCGGTCGTGTCAAGATCTTAGACGATTCCGGGGTGTGGAGGCTTACGGGGCCTACACAAAGACTTTCAGACTGACTGTGATGACGATTGCGATCGCCGCCACCGTGGTGGTGCTAGTAAGTCCTATAGTCCTGGCTTCCGATCGCAGTGACTATGATGATGGTGGTGCTGCTGGCAGCGGTGATATAAAGAAGATGAAGATACCTCTTATGGTCATTCTCATGCAGCAAAAATCTTATCACCTTGCCTCCATCCCCGAAAATGGATCCGAAAAGGTCCAAGAGGAGCACTTTCAGCTCTCCTCGCGTCGAGAAGATTCAGGTCCGATTAGCAGGTCTCTCCCTGTCATGTGTTTTTCCCAGCTCTGTCCTGCATCTCTGTTTGTGCGGGTGTGTGTGTGTGTGTGTGTGGGTGTGTGTGTGTGTATGCATCT